GGTGGGGAGGGTTGGGCTCCTGCTGAGGAGCTTTCCAGTCCATGTTCCATGGAAAGTGCCAAATTCACAAGGAAGTTAAGTGGTGTCTGTGTTACTTTTCTTTGTATATATTTACTGTACAAAACAAATATCCAAACAGGTGTTTCAAACTTGGCTTAGAGGCACGGGGGGGTCACAGTGGGTCGGGGTCAGGGTCAATATCCAGATTAATTCTGTTCTTCAATGGGTTCTGGTCAAGGGTGTAAAAAGTTACTGTTTGAAACTGGAAACCAGTTCAGCAGTAGCTGGCTGCTAACTGGGAATAGCCTGTGATCAGCAGGATATGGCATGTTGTGGTTCTGTTTGTTCACCAGGGAATTGGGAAGTTTCTGGTTGGCAGCGCTGCCACGTCCTCCCGCTCAGCCCTGGCACCAAGGGCGGGGGGCTCAGATGCAAAGTCCAAGGCCATTAGGAGCAATATTGGACTTGTGTTTTCATACTGGGAGCAGCCACCATCTGTCAGCTGCAGCAGAACCCCAGGTGGGGACATGTGTGTCACCCTGCAGTCTCCAGAAATGAGGAACTCAGGCAGGGAACTGGAAAGGCTTCACAGGCCATTGAAGTCCCTCCCGAGTGGGCTCACATGTTTGGAAATGGTGGGGGGAGAGAGTCAGTGAAAAGCACCCAGGAAAGAGGCTCAGTTTGGAGTTTCAGCTGCAAAATTCCTGCCTTGTAAAAACAAAATATGTAAAATCCAGTGGGTCCTTGTCAGCCACCTGCCGGCTTTCCCTTCCAGCTTTCCCTTCCAGCTTTCCCTGCCGGCTTTCCCTGCTGGCTTTCCCTGATAACTTTCCCTGATGACTTTCCCTGCCTGTGCAGCAGCTGATCCAGGCCATGTGTCACTGAGGACTGAGCAGAGGAGCTGAAACTTGACTTCTTGACCCCCTTGGTGGCAGCTCCATCCTTGGAGACCCCCGGCTCTCCCAGCTCTCCGGCACTCCGGGGTCTTGCCTTGCCAGTTCCCTCCGGCAAAGCCGCTGCTGCCTTTGCCCTCGTGAGGAGCAACAGTCAGAGCCTGCTCCTCCCCGTGGAGCAGGTCCTGGTCACCACCACCACAGCTCATTCCTGCTGCCGAATCCCATTGAAACCAAGTAATCAGCAGCAAATCCTCCTGGGCGGTCACTGCCGGTGACAAAGCGCATTCCCTGCCTCCCTCCATCCAGGCCGGGTTCCATGAGCATTCCCTGGCTGTGCCAGTGCTGAGCTCCTCACAGGTGCCTGACCAGGGACACCCAAACCCTAGGGTAGCCTAAATGAATTCCAGGATCTTTGTGGTTTTGTGGAGCCAGTCTTGCTGGGAAAGGAAAAACCCCAAGGATTTTAATACAGGGTCCGGTAGAACTGTAGCAATATTTTCCTTAGAGGGAACACTGAAACTTTAGCAGCACAACCAGTACTCGTGTTAATATTTTAGCAAAATTATAATCAATTTAAATGTTTAAATTGATTGTACGTGAGATAATGTTCGTTCGGTACAGTGTATTTTTTCTAACTATAATATAACTGTTCCAGAGTTTCCTTGTATCCGTGAAGAGCTAAAGCTGTGTCTGCCTGCGGGACGTGTCCTGCCCCCTGTACCCCCCATGCTGAATATTACACGCTCTGAATGTCCCCCCCGAGGCCTGCATTGCCTTTCTTTGCCCCACACGCACATCCCACCACGCTCGGTGCCAGGACTGACCTCGGGAGTCAGGGAATGACATGGGAATGCCGCCGGCACAGCTCCAGCCCCCGGCTGAGGCACCTGGTTCTTCTCGAGGTCAGCAGCTTGTTCCAGCTCTTAAAAATCAGTGTTACCTTCACCTTGCAGGCAGCACTTGGCTGCTCTGCTGGGCACGAGAGGAGGAGGAGGAGGAGGAGAAGGAGGAGGAGGAGGAGAAAGGGCTTGGGCACCCGAGTGGCTTCCTGGCAGCAGGAAGGCAGGACAGATTGTTCCTTGATTAAACCAGAGCGGGGAATAACGTGTCCAGCCACATCAACAGGCACCTCAGGGGAGGTTAACCCTGATCCCTCTGCACCCAAAATGCCGGTCCCCGTCAGGGAGGGGAGCCCGTCCCTGCTGGGGTGGCACTGGGACGGGCAGCTCGGACAGGCAGGACACCCATAGCTGGGGCGTTTTCCCAGGGAATAGTGATGGGTTTATGTAGGATGTGGCCACGCTGAGGCAGGAGGGGACAACCCAAAAGTCAGGTGGCCCCGTAGCAGCCAAGATACACCTGCCTTGAAAGGAGCATTGACCCACCTCAGCCTGACCCAAACACCCCCCTTTTTGGGTTGGCTGGGGGGGCTGTTGCCGAAGGCCCCACGTGCAGCTCCCCAACCCCACAGCAGCCTCCACCCAGCTGAATCCAAACATGCTCAGAGGCAGGGTGAGACTCAACCCCCCAGCCTGGCCACTGACACCCTGTGCCTGGAATCCTGCCTGGAATCCTCTGTGAGCCCCCCCAGTGTCCCCACGAGCTGCTCGGTGTCACCCTGCAGTGCCCGAGGTGCTGCCACACCTCAGTGTGTCCATGACCCCTTGGGCAGATCAGAGTGTACAGGTGGGGCTGGAATAAATACAGCCCAAGGGGCCCATGGTTAGAGAACTGGAGCCATGGGAGCAGGAACTGCTGTACTGGGGGTTCAGGTATTTGTAACATCCATTTCCACCTTCTTTCTCCCCAGTTTTTTCTCCCAGCCCATTTGATGTGGTACAACAGCACTTGTTCCCTCATAACTACCCAGACCACATCCTAAAAACGTGCCAAGACTGTCCTGAGCATGCCAAGGCTGTCCCAAAAACACGCCAGGACTGTCCTGAGCATGCCAGGGCTGTGCCATCCTCACAAGCCGTTTATGCCCCTCTGTTCTCCTGAGAGCTCGGGACCCCCCAGCACCTCAAGCTCGCAGAGGGCAGGACTCTGCTGTGCTCAGCTCAGCCCAAAACCTGTTAGCACTGAATTTGGGTGTAAAGAGCAGAATTCCAGCAATCCCATGCTGAGTTCTGCCCAACCCCCCTGCTCCAGGAGGCTCTGCCGGGACAACGCGGGTGTTTCCCAGCGCTGGGGTAACCACATCGTGGGGTTTGCAATTTATTTAAAGCATATTAAAAGATTTGAAAGAATTGGAGTTTTTGTCAGCATTTTAAGCTGTTCCTAGCAAGGTGGAAGCTTTGCTTAAGTGATATTTAGTAAAAATATCCCCCCCATTACCTGCTTCTGTGTCTCAGGGGGCTGGAGCAGACCCCAAGAGCAGATCCCTCCCTTTATGCCACGCCAACCAGCTGTGCCTGGACACTGTGGGATGAGTTTCCCATCAGTTCCTGCCACAACAGCAAGTGACACCCCCAGCATTTCTTTTCTGCTGTCCATCAGTTCCTTACAGGGTACTTTGTACCCTCCCCTGCCCATCACCAGCCCCTCAGAACGGCACAGTGCTGCTCCTGAGCTGCTCTGAGCTCCCACTAACCCTGCTCACCGTCTATTCCATAGCAAATCCCATCATTATTTTGTGGAATGGCCATTTCTCTCACTGAAAGCTGCTGTACATATTCATAGACTCCTCTCAGCCCGTGCTGTCCCCAAGCAGGTGGCTCTGGTCCCGCTCTGGTCCCCCCTTGTCCCATTCTCAGCTGCATTTTGACCCTCTGTGTGTCACAAGAGCCTCTCCCACCCCAGTGAGGCTCAGAAACAGCCTTCACTGTCTCGACTTGAAACCCAAGTTCAGCTGCCTGGATTTCGTTGCAATACACATTTAAACCTCAGATCCTTTAAGAGTTTTAATCTCCAACAGATCCCAACTGTGGTTTGGGAAGTTCAGTTTCTTTGCAGATACCTCTGTCCGAGCAGACGCTTCCAGGAGTTGCAGTTGTCACTTAACCTCTGTGCAGTGTAGTATAAAGTGGACTGTGTATGGAAATAAGTTTAAAATGTTTACAATTTTGTATATATTATATATATAAAAATATCTTTTCAGAGAACAATCTGTGATTCTGTATTTTCGGTGTCCGTGTAACCAACTGCAACTTATTTTCAATAAAGAGTTAAAAATGAATAGAAAAAAAAAATTTGGTAATAACTTTATTTAATCAGGTGAGCACAAGAAACAAGGAAACTGCAAGAGCAGGCCCTGGAGATCCAGAGCCTTGAGGGAACTCCCAGCAGCACCAGCCCAGGGAACCAGGGAGCTGCTGACAGAGAAAGAGTGAAAACCAAGGGAAGAGGGAAGATCCTGCTGCAGGGAAGGTGCATCTCAGCCCCCTGAACTTTACAAACCAAAGATGGGAGAGGAGCTGACTGAAGTGCTGGGGGCAGCTGGCACCCCCCACACCCCCCCATCCCTGTGGGGTGGCCGTGCCTCGGGCATCGCGTCCCGCTCGGATCCAGGGTCCCACCTGAGGCAGCAGCAGGGACATGTCCCGACTCCTCACGTGCTCATGCAGTGTATGAACAGCCATGCAGGCAAATCATCCTCCCCAGCCCCGTCTGGGGCCAAATACAACACGTTCAGGTGTTCAAAAGAGTCTTAAATACCCAGAAAAGAAACCCAAAGCACTTTGCAGCCTGAGCAAGCAAAAATAACTTGTAAGGCAAGGAAAAGTGGCTGTAGCAGGACTAACTCTGAGCTTGATTTCATGGAAATGATGCCTCTAGAAAAGCTGTGTTTTGTCACTAAAAATTACATAAATTAATTTCAGCTTTATTCCTACGTGTTAAAAATAACTAAACCTGGAGATGGGAGGGGTCAGACACTGAACTACAGCCATGGAAGTGCACGGCAGGGAGGGCTCTTGGCACTCCAGCACCTCAGAGCTGCTGCTGGAGGAGTCACCTCACAGGATGGAAAGACTCCCCCTCTTCCTCTGAGGAGGTGGAATTTGGGGATGCCAAAAAACATGAGCAAAGCTACATCAGCCTGGTGTCACCGAGGGAGGTGCAGGTGTCAGAGAAATGCACTTAAAGGCACTGCAGAAAACATGGTCAGTGATCAGCAGCATTTAATGTCCCAGGATGCTGTTGGGAGCTCCCACCAGTAATACAACCAAGAAATTAGAAACATGGCAGTCATTAAATAAAATTCCCGTGTGCTTTACACAGAGTAAAGCCTTAATGCTGTTGCTGTTACTGTACATGCAAGGCTACAAAATCAGTTTCTTGAAAGAACATGTTACAGAAAAGGTCAGAGGCAACTTCAAATCTTGTACAGACCAGCCCAATTCTTCAAGCAGCAGAATGGACTCTGTTTGCAGACAGGAAACTCTGCAGCCCAGTGTTTGCAGCGCTCCTGGTCACACCAGTGAGCAGCACCTTTCCTGCACCTTTGTACCCCTGACTAGTGTGATCTTCACTGAAATAGCACAAAAAAATCAGAATGTTATAAGGGAAGCCGCTTCTGTTCATTTCAGTGATTCCCTAATCTTCCCCCACCCCAAAACCAGAAAGAAACCCCCAAACCAGATGCTTATTCCCCTATTGTGTCCCCTGTCAGTCTGCAGATCAGAAAGGATTCCCAGCTATTGCATGTTCCAGGAGGAAGGAGCCCCTGCCTGCCCACCCTGCGGCTCAGCCTAACCCTACCCCAGATTTTGGGAGCTCAGACTGTGGGAGGGATGAGCTCCAGCACATTCCCATGATCCCTTTGCCCCGAGAGGGCTCCCCAAATTACCTGCTCCTCACTGGCTCAACTGGCACCGGCCCTCAGCCACTCTATGCTGCCAAACCTCATTCCAAAAGTGCATTTCCAGAGCCAGAGCCTGGTGTGTGGGCCCTCAGGAAAGCTAACTGATGATCCTGCTGATTGCCTGCAAGGAAGGGAACTCCTCATCCTCAATATGCAAAGCTTTGTGGGTGACCACGTCCTGCTGAGTCAGCACTTGCTTACACGTGGGGCAGATGTAGCAGTCGAGGTCCGCGGGGGAGTCCACCTGCCAAACGTTCTTTTTGTTCTTTTTGGGCCTGTTGGAGCTTTGTTTCTCCTTGACTCGGAAGTCGTTGTGAGCAGAGAGCAGTTCCTGCTGCTTCACCGTGTCCGGCAGCAGCACCAACAACTCCTTAAAAATCTTCTTGAAGTTCTCCCCCAGCAGCTCTCGGCAGCTCTTGTAGTACTGTGCTGCAGAGATCACACCCTGCAGGCAACAGCACGGGGGAGGATTAGAAATACACAGATCTCTTAAAAAACCCCCCTGGGATTCAGGTCTCCCAGAGAGGGAGGTTTTGGGAACCCACTCACCTGCCTGAACTGCCCAGAATGAGTTTTAAATTTATTGAACTTGGACTCGTCGCTTTGAAGAAATTCTTTAATGGATTGTATGAGCTGGATGTTCCTCTGCTGGAAGTTCTCAGGTATCAAGTATGATCCATGACAGGGTTTTGGCCTGCATTGGGAAACACCAAAAGTGACTCTGACGTTGGTTTGTGTCACAGCAAAAGTGCCCTGGAACATAAATCCCAAGGCTGTTCTGGTTTACAGGCTGCATGTCCTTCCTCCACCCAGCTCCACATGCATTACTGTGAGCTGCACACAGCTGTCTTGCCAGGATAAAATATGGGGTTTCTGTATCAGATTCCAGTTTTACATAGACAAAATATGTAAAATCCAAATTTAACACGGTCCTGACGAGCTGCTTTGGAAGGGGAGTTCACTAAAAAGACGTGGGCAAAGACCACACCACAAAAAAACCGACAGATAATGCAGGTTCTGTATTAAACTGGCAGAGTTTCCCCTCCCCTTTTCTCACAAACTCCTCTTTCTATCCCAGAAAGACCAGAGAGCAGCTACTGGGAAGATCAGGGCAGTGAAGGTCACCAAGGAGAACACACCTCAGCACTTTGCTGCTGGGACTCTGACAGAATCGATGGGAGGGTGAAGGAATATGTTGAAGCTGCAGATTCCCAAATAAATCTAAAATAGACCAAAGTCTGAGCAGCCACACTGCACAGGTTTTCACTTCCTCAGCTGCAGCTACACAGGGTTGTTTTCTTTTACACAACTCTCCAGAATCCAGCCCACAAACACCCCAGGACTTCCCAATGGGAATCTTCACCCAGCTGGCCCCGCTCAGAGTAACCCCGAGTGCTCCCTGCGCTGTTTGAAGCCCACCTGACAGAACTGAGGTGCACTGTGGGACATAACTCGCTCCCAGGAGTTATTTACTCACTCTTTCAGAGCTGTAGTGACAGGTTCAGAGATGTTGGTGGATGGAATGACAGCGAAGCCCGGGGGGGGTTTGCTGACAGGCACCGACAGGCCCGGAGGCGGAGGAGGGTTCTTCAACAGCACCACGGAGTTAAAGCCTGGGGGGAACAGGGAAGGGGCAGGAGTTAAACACACACACCCCTCTCCAGCTAAAACTCACACCAGTGTCTGCCACACTCTGCAGAAGCACCAAGAAGAATCTGCAGTGCAAACACGACTATATTGGAGAAAACCTAAAAATTAGAGGCGGAAATCTTCAAGAAGCACTTCAGGGTGGCTGATGTTCCTCTACGCAGAAAGCGCTTTAATTATTCATTTACTTTTTCAATGGAAAATAGTTTTTAAAACCCACTCAAAGTCACAATGAAAAACACTTTTGCATTATTAAAGTGAACAGAAATCACCTGAGGAGGCACAGCAGCACCAGGCCTGGCCTCTCCCCCAGCAGGAGCTGCAGAGCAGCACGAACAGTGGTGCCACCTCCATTAAAACCACTCCAAGTCACGCTTGTTGCTGTCTCTCCACTTTTACAAGGTCATGGCTAAAAGCAGGGCAGGAAACCTCTGCAAACACGGGAGGAAGCAGCCAAGGAAGCTGACTGAGGAGTGTCAGCAGGCACAGGACACTGCCAGATTCCTTTCACCCACAGCAGCCTCCCAAGCAGATCCTGGAGCACAACAGCTCCAAGAAGAAGAGCAGGGACAGGTGAAAACCAGCTGCTCATCCATGAGCCACCCCAGTGACCAGACACCTCCAGCTGTGTGGGACAGAGGTGTCCCAACACTGCCACTGCTTTAGCCAGGATTCCCAGAGGACATTCCAGCCCCCTTGTGTCACCCAGGCTGCCTTTACCTCCAGAGCCCAACCTGGCACCTGGTGGCAGAACCTCACACGAGAGCCAGAAGGAGACTTATACAGCACATCCATGGGCCATGTTTCTTTAAGCCACTTCCAAGCAAAGCTGGCTGTGCTTCCCCACCCCTGGAAGCATCCAAGGCCAGGTTGGACGGGGCTTGGAGCAACCTGGGCTAGTGGAATGTGTCCCTGCCCATGGAAGGGAGGTGAAATGAGATGATCTTTAAGACCCCTCCCAGCCCAAACCATTCCAGGATTCTGTGACTCCCTCTGTGCTTACCTGGTGGCGGGGGCATCCTGGCTGATCCTGAGCTCCCAAGAGCTGGGAAGTCTTCCTGAGGTAAAGGGCATTTGTTAGTCACTGTGGGCTTTTTAAGGCCAGGGGGCTCTTTGGGTGTACCACAGACCGCTGAGGACTTTTCCGAGTGGCCATTCATGACAGCTGTGGGTCTGTCGGGGCCGTGGGGAGCAGGGAACACCCTGGAGGGCTGCTCTGCTTCCGGGGGCTTTTCCGTGCATGGCCTGGGGAACGCCGTGTCCGGGCGTGGGGACGACGGCCTCTGCTTCTCAACCCCCACCTTCTTTTTCTTGCCCACTTTCGTAAAAGTCTGTGAGGTAGAAGCCGCCAGCAAGGACGAGACGTCGAACATGGTCGGCGTGTTCCGGATCTCCTGGGTGGTCAAGCCACCGCCGCCGTCTTCGTCGTCCGACTCACAGGGTTTATTGCTCTTCTTACTTCCCTTGGAGGTGTTCAAGGATGGTTTTTTGGCTGGCTGGCTGACACAGGGGTTGGTGATGGCTTTGACCACGTTTTTGCTGGAACCGTTGTTCCACGCAGATGTGATGTTGGTTACTGTCTTATTGTTGGGCTTCATTTTGGACACCAGGGCTGGGAAGTCCTCCTCTTGGAAGGCCGCTTTCTTTGCCGTCGTTGTGTATGTCAGAGACATCCCAGACGAGATGGTGGGAGCTGCAGAGGATGACAGGCTTGGGAAATCTTCTTCTTTAAGCTTAACTAGTGCTGGCTGGGCAGAGCTGTGAGGAAGGGAGAGGTTGGGGTTACCCTGTTACGGCAGCACAACCCCAACGGGCAACACGAGCCCCGCAACTCTCCACACCCTTCCTCAAACTGTTACTAAGGGTGGCACAAGTGACCCAGCTTTAACAGGACACAAATGCACTCAGGGTTACCAACTGCACCTGCAATGGGTCTCCTCAAGAAGTGCCACCAGCCTTGCTGTGTTATCAGCACTGTCTCGGCACCCCTCACCTTGACCAGAGCTGGTACAGGTGCATTCGAGCTGCCACATCCTGCAAAGGCAACGCTCTCGGGGACATGGTGGGATTGTTGGGCTGTCCTGGGCAGAGCCAGGAGCTGGACTTGATGATCCTTTTGGGTCCCTTCCAGCTCAGGATATTCCATGATTCTATGATTCCAAGACCAAGCCATGAGCTGCAGCAACAGCTGGTGCCACAGGTGAGCGGCACAGAAACAGCTCGAGGCAGGAGGGGATGGGCGAGGGAGGCTCTGAGAGATCAATCTCCCAATATTATTTTCCACAGAAATGCAGGACATAAATAAACTTCTAAATCTGCTTTCTCACTGCTGCAGCCCTGCACAAACTTACCCTTGGAGAGGTCCTGCTGGCGAGCCAATTGCTGGAAAGTCGTCTTGGCTGAGAGCACCGTTAGCAGCTGCTTCTTTTGGAAGAGTGACAAAAAGAGCAAAGAAATGTTTTCAACTCAAGCCCATTCATTGCAGAGTGGGGGCTACCAGTGAACACAACAGCAGCATTACCAAGTCCTATTTTCAGCAGCTGATGATGCCATTAACTAACATTCCAGAACGATTTAAATCCATGCATCACTATTTCCTTCAATTAAATGCATTCACCATTATGTCATGGCATACAGGAAATTCATGATACTTTAAGTGAGTAAAACATGGAGGGGAAGTACTTAGTGAGGGAACCTTCTAGAAACCGAGATGCCAATGCCCCCAGTCTTGCCCTGAGGTTGCCACTCAGCTGCCTGCACAGGGTCAGGATGTTCAGCAGAGCCTCCATGCTCCAACTGATTTATGCCAAAGCTTCTTCACCTGGAAAGCTGCTCCCCTGAGCAGCCCCTCGCACCTCTGCCCAAACTGCTCAGCAATTAGTTCCTGGGCAGTGGTTTTACACTGAAACACAGCTCATTCCCAGTTTAATGTGCCTTAAAATCCCAGTTCTGTGCTGCAGAGTACAGGGACAGATTGGTAATGGCTGTGACACACAAACAGCAAAAGGTGGAAGGGATAACCCTGCCTGGCCCCCCAGATGAGCTGTACTCATTAACCACACAGAGCTCCCAGCAGCTCCCATCTCCTAAGGAAGTTCCATAAAATCTTTAAGTGAAAATCTTGTTGCAGGAGCAATAAAACAGTGGAAAATGGATTTGGACAAACAGTAATATCAAAACAGCACTGCATTGTGTTTATGTGCCCCAAACTGGACCTGAGTCAGGTTTGCTTTCACCAGTTACAAACTTCCACTGGGAATAACTTGCTCTCAAAAAAGGGGAAACTCAGCTCAAGCATCCCAAAAATCAGTTCTTTCTGCTTGAGTGGGAAATGTTACCTTCTTGGGTTACCTTGATTTGGATGTACCATCACCTCATGTTGTATGTTACCTGCATTTGATATTTCTACCCAGCTCCACCTCGGGTCTAACCTGCTGCAGGAGCCCAGCCTGCTGGGACACGTCCCACTGCAAATCCCTGTCGCTGATTTAAGGTTCTGCAGAGCTCCGTCCACATCCAGCAGCTCTTGGGAGCAAGGCCCAGTGATTCCCACTTGTGCCAGGCTGATGTGCAGCCCCATCCCTGCTCCCTGCAGCTGCAGAACCTGTTCCACACTCACCTGCCACATCGTTCGGAGCCTTTGGCACACGTTTGGAGCCGAGCACGTCGGGATCCCTCAAATCCTCCTTCTTCCCTCTGCTGCTGCCGCCGTCCTCTTTGTCCTCCACCCTTTTCTTCTCTTCCTGCCGTTTGGCTGCCACAGACGCCCTGACTGCTGCTGCAACATCCCTGTCTTCTTCTTCCCTGCAGGACAGGGCACATGTCCTTGGTCAAACAGCAAAGAGCACGGAGCAGCTGCCTCGCTCCAGCTCTCACCTCGCCGGTGCCAGCTCTGGTGACATCCCTGATCTTGTGCTGTCACCTGCTGAGAAGGCTGAACCAGCCCCACCACTCCAGTCCACCCCAGCCAGGCAATATTCCCCCCTTCATTTCCAAGTTCCCCGTGTGGGAATAACGATCCAGGCCAGAATTGGTATGAACACGGAGAGACAGCACCAAGGACGAAGGGGACACCTGTCTCTCCCGTTCATTTTCAAACGTATGGAATCATTTCTGGAGGCCATGGGAACTCTTGGAGACACAGCTGGTCATGAACTCCCAACACACACACGATCTACACACAACACCGACACAGGAGTGTTTTGGGATGGACTTTTTCCCCACTGGAATCACCAGTAATGAACCAGCTGCCCATCCAGCGAGAAAAAGAAGAAAATAAGATGTGCAGGATGTATAAAGCACCCAGGTCTGGTGTGGAGGAAGAGACATAGAAATGCAAAATTTCATTTTAATATTTCCCCCTCTTCCTTTTCCCAAGCACTCTGTCTGGCCACACAGAGATGTGTTAGTTCAATGAAAAGCACAGTCCTTAGAACAGGAATTTCATGACTACCCAGACCAAAAACTCCATTAAACCTGCACAGACTCATCACCTATTTCAGAATATCCTACTTAGAGAAGTTTACATAAAAACAGCTGCTGAAATTAATTTAGGGCTCTGAGTTTATTTAACCCACAAGCTGAGGATCACATTGTTTGCTTCCCGAGCTGAAACATCACACAAAGTAATTCCATGTTGACCAAGCTTGTAGCCAGCACACGGACTTGGACTGGAAGCTCATTCTACTCCCAGCTAAAGATTCACCACAGAGGCCTCCAAATTTTGTACCCACTTCCCACAGATCCACCAAAATATTGTGAATTGGCAAGTGAAAAACAACACTGAACAGGAGTAAAACTCCACCCAATGCTGTGCTACTCACCTCTTGTACCTCCAGCTGCCTCTCCTGTTCTGTTGGCTCCCCCGGCCGTTCAACCTGCCCGTCCTCCCTTGCCTGTTGTACCTGTCAACCTCTTCATAGTCCTCTGCACCTACAACACCTGAACAGGAGGGAGGGTTGATCACTCTGTTATTTCTCTAATCTGGCCATCACACTCTGCCTGAAAAATGCAAAAATACACTCGTACAAACAAATTATCTTCATTTCTTTCTGATGACTAAGTCAGCAGTTTTTCCTAAAATTGTGTGTCATTGTTAAATCCATGCATGGGGGGAAAAAAATCCTACAGCAATTCAGGTAGGAAAGGACCTCTGGATGTCACCTGCTCCAGCCCCTCACTCAAAGCAAGGTCAACCCAAAAGCACATCAGGTTGCCCAGGGCCTGGTCTGGTTAAGTTCTGGTCACCTTCAACCTCTACAACCTGTCAGGTCCTGTTTCAGGATGAACAGGAAGAATTTCTTCATGGCTATGAAATGTTCACCAGATGTTCTTGAAAACCCTCAGAGCAGTGGAATGGTTTGGGTTGGAAGGGAACTTAAGGTTCAACCAGTCCGTGCCACAGGCAGGGACACCTCCCACTAGCCCAGGTTGCTCCAAACCCCATCCAACATGGCCTTGGACACTTCCAGGGATGGGGCAGCCACAGCCTCTCTGGGAAACCTGTGCCACGCTCCCCCAGGGAAGAATTCCTTCCCAGTCCCTGGAAGGGCTCCGTCTGTGCCCCGCTCACCCTCGTTCCTGCGGGGGTGCCGGGGGGTGTAGGTGAACTGGAGGTCGATGTGGCGGTTCTGCCGGGCCTCGGCCCTGCTCTTGCTGTGACAGGCTGTCTTGTGGGCCTTGTAGTCGATCTCGGTGCGGAAGGCGTGCGTGAACTGCTCCGTGCTGCACCGGCCCTCCTCGCACAGGAAGTGCTTCTCGCGGAAGTGCTCCCGCAGGTACTCGTAGTCACTGCGGGGAAAACGCAGAGCTCACACCCCTCCAGCACCTTCTTCCCGTGGCACACGGCCACTCTTCTGATGACAAACGCGGATGGTTGGTTTTTGTTATAACCCCAGGGAAGCCTTCCAGTGAAACCCCTTCTGTACGGCCAACACAGACCACAGGGCACGGCCCACACGTCCAACCAAACCCAGTGGTGGATGCTCATCACACCCAGCTGTGCTTAGGGCACGTATTTCACACAAAAAATTACTCCTATCCCCTTTGCACATGAACTTTGGAGCATTAGAATCATGGAATTACAGAACTGTTAAAGTTGGAAAAGACCTCTAAGATCCCTGAGTCCAACCATCAACCAGCACCACCACTACGTCCCCAACTGCCACACCCACATGTTTTTTGAACACTTCAGGGATGGGGACTCCACCACCACTCTGGGCAGCCTGTTCCAATGCTTGATAACCCTCTCCATGATGAAACATTCCTAATGTCCAGTCTGCACCTCCCCTGGTGCAATTTGAGGCCCTTTCCTCTCTCCCTGTCCACCTCTGGAGGTACCACACCAAACAGCTGCTGTCAGGCTGCAAAGCACAACCTTCCATGCTTAACGTTAACGAAGAAAACCTTAAGGCACGAACTAGACACAAAGTGAATATTTTGGCTGTTTGTCTGAGAAACAAGAGACTGCAGCCAACCTGCTCCCATTCCTCCACTCTGCCGTCAAACACCACTTTCCCTAAAATCCAAAGCAGACCCAGGCAATTTTTTCCCCCCCACAATTCAGGGCACAGAAAGAGCTCGTGTAAGTGACGTGCTCGGCCCAACCTGTAGTACTCCTGAGCGCCGTCAGAGTCGCAGAAGTGGCAGAAGTAGTGATCCCTGCGCAGGTGTTTGAGCAGCTCGTCGTTGTCCAGGTACCGCTCATCGCAGAACTTGCACAGGGGGTGCCCCCGGTGGGACGTGTCGTCGGGGTCCCCATGGATCCGGTGCCGGGCCAGGTCCTTCCTGGAATACCACTTCCTTTCAGAGGTGAAAATCTGCGGGGATGGATAGACAGATATAACGCATCACCTCTTGTGGGCTGAGGACAGGAACGAGCCGGGGTTGTGCCCAACTCGTCCGTTCGGAGGAGTCAAAGACTTGCTTCAGAAAGATGCAGTTTGACCACCAACACCTAAAGTGTTCGGTGATTTCAATTCGAGTGATGGATCCAAATTAAATCCAACTTGAATTTCTCTCAGTTTGTACACTGGAAACAGATCTAATTAACTTTTTTTCCCCTTTCACTTTTTTTTTGATACAGCAACAAACTCTAAATTATCATCTCTGGGGGAGGAAAATCCTAAGTATGCATTTATGAGCACACAGCATTTTGCATACTCAAATTAAAAGGCCTCATAAACCCCCAGTGAGCTGTTTTACTTTCCTCAGACAGCAACCACCCAAAATAGCTACAGAGTAGACACTTGGATGAACAAATTCTGCATCACAAGCCAACCCTCTGTCCCCACTAACACGTGAGCTATTTTGGTAGGAAGGTTCTGGAGACGCCAAAAGGATCAACCCAGCCTTGACAACAGAATATCCTTTATTTCTGGCCTAGACAAGGCCTGGGAACTTGCTCTGGGAAAAGGTTTGTTTAGCTTTGCCAGGGCTGATGGACTGAAGCTTCTGCAAGTTTAAGAGCTTCTTTTCAGTGGGTACAAGTAACTCTTTGGAACAGTGGAATTTTTTTTCAGTGAAATAAAAATCTCTACAATATTCTGAAAGCAAAAAGCAACAGTTTTAATATTGTTTGTGAATTCTCTGGGAGAGAAAATGACAAACAAGTTCTCTCAGTGCTGGCTACACTGACCATGAAATACCTCCCTGGGGTCCTGCCCTCCCTCCCTTCAATCAGCTCCGGGGACTGCACGACCACAGGAAAGAGTCAAATCTGTTCCCAGTCTTATAGGGTTCACTCAGGTCAACCTGCTCCCTTCTGGATCCCATCCTTTCTGGCAGCAAACTCCAGCTCACCTGGCACACACCAACTGTGGCACCACCACCGTGGGGTTTAATTTAAAATCTGGAGAACCTCCAGCCCTCCTTCATTAATCAGTTTGTGGAAGCTGAAAGACTTCAAATAAAGCAACTGGCCTCGCTGCAGGCAGGCAGAGGAAACTAAAATAACTGCTGTTCAGCCACCTCCTTTCTTCCCAGCTCCCCAGGTACTCCCCAGGGAAGTCATGGAGGGAAAGCCTCCTCCTCCCCACACATCCCAGCAGAGGCCCAGCTCACCTTTAGGTGTTTGACACAGAGTTTGCAGCAGAAGAGCTCGTGCTGCTTCCTCATGTGCTGCTCCAGGTCTGCAAAGGTGTTGAAGGGCTTGGCATCGGGGCACAAGGAGCACTCGTGCTGCAGCAGCTTCCTAAGGGAGGAGAGAGTTCCCAAAAATGTGCCAGTTCCCTCTCAGCACCCCGAGACCTCCACCAAAACACAAGTATGCTGTCCCTGGCAGAAGGCTCCAGCTTTATGGGTCTTCCAGCATCTGTAATGAGGTTTGAGTCCTGCTTATTCCAAGAATTTTGTCCTATGTCAGGAGTGGGATGGAACCAAATTACACCGATGCTTCAACTGCAGGAGAGGAGCTGAGCAGTGTAAGAATGACACTGTCCCTAAAACTGAGGGGACTGTAACAATCCTTGTGCTTACTGGAGATCCAGCTGGGTCCTGCAACATTCACACCCAGTTTCATTACACTTTCCACTGTCAGAAACCGAGGAATACAGTGGGAAGGGATAAAGAATTGTAATAGAAAATTAGGGGGAAAAAACACCACAAAAAAGTCCACCCCACAGGGGCTTCCAACTCTGCCAGAGCACTGGTCTCAGTGGGAGACTCCCACTCCCTCATTTCCATAAATATGACACCATGTAAAATTGTAAATGTATCAAAGTTACATCCTTAGCCCAAACCAGGGTGGATATAATGCCCAATTCTCCAAGAAAAAGGTTCCAATGCCTGCATGGCTTCATCTTTTTCACACTTCTTTCCTTTTAGGTGCTTTTAATTATCTTAAACCCTCCTAATTAAGCATATTATGAAAAATACTTGTGGAACGTGATGCTCATGCCACGGTTTTACTCTCCATTGGTTTTTCACTTCACCCTTTTTCTCTCTCATTTAGAATAAAATCTTTGTAAAAGCCAAGATTACTCTTCATATAATACTTGGCACAATTGGGCTGGGTAAGTCCTTAATTAGCCCAGCAATAAATATAAGAGTAATTTTATTGGCACCTGCAGATATTGATATACAATTAATAGTAATTATGCCTTCACCAATTTCCACAGCAGTCATGCAAGGAATGGAAAGGTTTTCAGCAAGTTTGCTGCTGCTGAAGGTGCAAAAAATGACTTTTACTGACAGAGCAAAGCTGCTGTGCTGCAGCACTCCAGCCTTGAGAGGCTGTGAGTGTTCCCTCCACTGCCCTGCTCCAGCCTCTCACCTGCCCAAACACATGCCCAGCAGGTGACTCACGTACCCAGCACCTCCATTCCCAGGAAACCACAGCACCCTGCCCTCCCAAACACTTCCTGCCACATGCCAGAGAGGGGCCAGAGCTCACCTGTACAGGGCATAGACCTCCCCATCCATGAAATAAATGTCATATTTCTTCTCATGCTGCAGCTGATGAAGGGCTATGGAGGAGAAGGACGGGAGCTTCCTCCCAAAAACCACCTGTGGGACACAACACTGGGATCAGCGGGAGCTCTGGGATCCCAAGGAGCCTGCAGGGGCTCTGGGATTCCAGGCAAACTCTGGGATCTGCCCTGTGCCAGCCCCAGCTGTCACCACCCGAAGGCACTGTCACCAAAGCCAAAGGGACTTGTCCTTATCAGCTGCCCGGGAAACGTGGATTGGACCAGCCTGGCCTTTGGATTTTGAACGAGATTAGGAAACGTTTCTGGTCTGTTTTGCTCCAACAGCTGCGCCGAGAGTAAATACCCTCAACCAACCGAAGCCTTCCCACAGGGAATGCCTGCCAGGAGCCCTGCACTCAGCTCCTCCCCATTTCCTGTGGGATCACAGGGAAACCTGGAGTCTCCAAGGGACTCAATTACACAGAGTCTGACTGGGAAACCACTGTCTCTTCTTTTCTTAACTCCCGGGGAAGGCAAGGAACAAAACACCAAAACACTTCCCGAATTATCTGTGCCACGTGCCCGGGATCCTCCCTGCTCTCGCTGGACTCCGGAGGCTGCAGCTGTTCAAGGTATAAATCCTTCAGGAGCCACCTACCACTGCTCCAGCACTCATTCCCAGTCTGGGAATTACGGGGGAAACAGCAACACTTGGGGAACAGCTGGAGTTACCTGTCCCAGCCCAGAGAGGCTGAGACACAAAAACACAAGAAAAGTTTCAGTTCTTACAGTAAAAACTACGTTACAAATCCAGAAACAGGTTGTCCAGAGAAGCTGTGGCTGCCCCATCCCTCCAAGTGTCCAAGGCCAGGTTGGACTGGGCTTGGAGCAACCTGGGCTAGTGGGAGGTGTCCCTGCCCATGGCAGGGGGTGGGACTGGATGGGCTTTGAGTTCTCTTCCAACCCAAACCATTCCAGGATTCCATGAGCCCTCCTAAGAGCAGACGCTTCCTGGGACAGGGAGCAGAGGCTCCATCCTGCGCTGGCAGAGCGAGCCCTGCTGACTTAAAACCAAAAAATATCCACTTTAAACTCCATTTTCTCATTATTTCGCTTCCCACCCGCCCGACCGGCGGCGGCGCCCCGCGAGCGGCGCGGAGGGCGGACAAGCCGGGGCTCCGTCCCCGTCGGGCCCACTCAGCCCTTTTCCGACCGCCCCGTGCCCGAAGCGCTGCCCGGCCCGGCCGAGGCCCCCCCGCTCCCCCCTCAGCCCCGGCCTCACCTGCCGCAGCTCCTCCCGGCACACGGCGCAGTAGCGGACGCCGCAGAGCGCCCGCATCCGCACGGAGCAGCGGTAGCAGATGGGGTGCTCGCAGCGGCCGAGCGCCAGCACGTCCAGCTCCCCGCAGCACAGCACACACGGCCCCTCGGCCGGGCCCGGCCCCGCGCCGGCCATGGCGGCCATGGCGGCCTCGGCCCCGCGCCGCCCCGCCCACACCACCGAGCGCGGGCCAGAGCGCCGCACCACCATAGAGAGGCGCGCTCGCCCAGCGCGGCCGGGACATAGAGCTGCGCTGCCAGAACCGCCCCCAGCGGCGGCAGCGCCACGCCGCTGACGTCACCGCTCGGGCCTCCAGCGCCCGGCCATAGAGACGCGGCACGGTGACCATAGAGATGCGCTGGCCGGAGCGCCTCTGGCAGGGCCGGTCTGGCTCCCTCTCGATGGTGTCTCTGACGGAGAGGAGGACCTCGGGGCCATTTGGGGTCCCCAGATCCTGCCTGAACACACCTGGTTGTGGAGACACGGACCCCAGGACCATTCCTGTCACCCCTGGCTGTGAGGACATGGGGAACTCTGAGCTCCTGACCCCCTGGCTCTGGGGACATGGGGGATCCCAGGTCCATTCCTGTCACCTCTGGATGTGGGGACATGGGGGATCCCAAACCCAGCACCCCTGGTTCTGGGGACATGGGGGGACCCCTGATCCTGCTCCAGCACCCCTGGCTGTGGAAAGATGAGGTGCCTCAGGGCCATTCCTGTCACCCCTGCTTGTGGGGACATGGGGGACCTCAAATCACAGCCCCCGTACTTGTGGGGACATGGAAGACCCCAGCCCATTCCTGGCCCCCCTGGCCATGGGGGCATGGGCACCCCATACCCTGTACCCCTGGATGTGGGAACACGAGGGATCCCAGCCCCATTCCTGTCCCCCTGGATGTGGGAACACGAGGGATCCCAGCCCCATTCCTGTCCCCCTGGATGTGGGAACACGAGGGATCCCAGCCCCATTCCTGTCCCCCTGGATGTGGGAACATGAGGGATCCCAAACCCATTCCTGTGCCCCCTGGATGTGGGAACACGAGGGATCCCAGCCCCATTCCTGTCCCCTGGGTGCTGCCCTGAACCTTCACACGTCCCTGTGTCCCTGGCCCAGGTGTTCTGCCCACCCCTGTGGGGGGGGTCGGTGTCCCCCAGGGCTGGCACTGCGGGGACAGTGGAGACTGTGGGCTGCTGATTCCTGTGGGATTTTTCCAGACCAGACACCTCCCCTGGGGTGCAAAGAGCCCCTCCATGGATTCATCAGACCTGCAGCTCTGCCCCTCGATTTAATGTCACAACTCAGGTGTTTGTTACCTTGGGTACACGGGCTGTGGTTGGGAGAAAAAAAAAAAAAAGGGTAAAAAATGCACTTGAAACACTATCGAAAGTAGGATTTTGGATCCATTGGAGGGGGGCTACAAAAGGGCTCTGACAGGGTGTTGAGAGCTCGGTCTAACGTAAATAATCCTTTATTTGCTCCAGGTTGTGACTCACGCACTCAGTATCCAGGTTCCAGCTGTGCAGGGCGAGTTCAGGTGAGCTGAGTTAACACTGACACACCTGAGGAAACGTGTCCAGGTTCCTGCTCCTGCCGTGCGGGCTGAGCCCGTGGTTTAAAGGTCTCTGTGTCGCTGGGACACAGAGATGGGAATTGCGGCTCCTTGGACAGGAGAGGGTGCTCCAGGAGCGTGGAAAAATGCATTAGGAGCAGCCAAGTTCCTCTGGAAGGGAAAAAAAAACCCACACAAGGATAAAAGCTTGCTTGGCCACAGCACAGACGAACAGACAGGGGTTTTCAGACTTTAGGATCTACCACCTGTTTTTCTCCCAGGTTCCCACTAAGTGACCCAGATGAGGTCACTGTCATAGAATCCTGGAATGGTTTGGGTTGGAAGGGACCTTAAAGCTCATCCAGTCCCACTCCCTGCCATGGGCAGGGACACCTTCCACTAGCCCAGGTTGCTCCAAGCCCCGTCCAACCTGGCCTTGGACACTTGGAGGGATGGGGTGGCCACAGCTTCTCTGGGCAACCTGTGCCAGGGCCTCCCCACCCTTACAGGGGAGAATTTTTTTCCAGTATCCCATCTAACCCTGCCCTCTGTCACTCCACTTCCTGATGAAATTCCTACTAAATTCCTGGCATCTTCCTATGGCTGGAAGATTGGATGAGCATCTTTATCATTCAGACCTGCTGTCTTTTCCCTGAATTCTTTGTCATTTGAGTTAAAACTGGTTCTTCCTTTTCTTTGAGCCATGAACAATCATTTTAGGACAAAGCAGCCCATCAAATAGATCATTAAAAGATCCCATGACGTATTGCCATCCCACACCAGCTCCAGTTAACAACATCTGTGCCATCAAATAAATTAAGTAATAGGTTTGCTAAGTGTTTGGGAGTAGATAATGAAGGATTTCAACGTTTTGGATCATTGGATACAACAGGTAATATTTACTTTTTCCTAAAGAGCCCCATTTATCCCACTTGAGCGTGGAGTGGGGGAACACACGTCTCGCTAATCAACCCTGAAGTGTGTTTGGGTGGGGCTGCATGGAATAATATGGAATGACTGAGGATGATGGCTGTAATTACTCCAGGAAATGTTCCCCGAATTAATGATACTGTTGAAAATGTTTTTATGTCCAAACTGCATCACCCAATTTTGGAGAGCAATTAGCATGAAATGAGCTGGAGGCTGCTGGCAGGGATGTGCTGCCTTAAGTGTCACTTGGCTGTGAAATGACACCGTGGCTGGGCACAGGATCATAAACACACCTGAGGAATTGGGATGGGGAGGGACATTACTCATCACGGGACTCTGGGGACACAGAGGCTTGGCAGGGAGGGAGTTGGGACCTTTCAGATTTCGGCTCTGGTCGGTGATGTTGCTTCCCACCAGTCCAGGAGAGCCAAGGACCTGACCCAAAGACTGATCCTGCGAAGTGTGTGCATAGCAGTGTGTTTTTCCTACTGTGAGGGTGTGATGTTCCTGGCAAAGGGAAGCACTGGCTGTTTTCCAGGCAGGCAGCAGCACTGGCAGCTCCTCAACTGGGGCTTTTTCTGCCCCTCGGATGATATTTGCAATAATCGGTGTCTGAGGGGGAAACCACTGAAGGTTCTGTGTCCCTTCACAGTCCAGGGGAACTTCCAGCAGCACTGGAAGCTCGTGCCAGTCTCATCCTCCATATACAGCTAGAGCCAGGAAGTTTTGTGGATCAAAACCCATGTAAGGATATCATAGAATGGCCTGGGCTGGAGGGAACCTTCAGAATCTTTTTGTTCCTCCCATTGCCAGCTGGAGGCCAGATCCAGCCCTGTCCTCTGCATCCACTGTGGGATGACCCAACCCAACCCCAATCCCAGCCTCTGGCAATGGTTGGGTGTCCTTAACTCCTGCCTCCTGTTCTTCCCCCACAGCACCAGGCAGCAGGTCAGAACAGCCCTTCCATGGCCCGGCATCAGGTTGTGACAGGGGAGGTTTGGGTTGGACACTGGGAATATTTTTACATGGAAAGGATCGTCCAGCCCTGGCACAGCTGCCCAGGGCAGGGGTGGAGTCCCCATCCCTGGAGGGATTTAAAGGCCACATGGATCTGGTACTTGGGGACGTGGGTTAATAGTGGCCTTGGCACTGCTGGGACTGGTGGTCTTGAAGGTCTGTTCCAACCTAAATGATTCTGTGATTCCATGTCCTGCAAATGCAGCTCTGTTGATCCCATGACTTTTCCAGTGGTGGGACACATCTTTCCACAGCTGTAAAATGCCAAAAAACCTCCTCTATTCCATGTCAACATCATCACACAAGATGTTCCCACTCTCCTGGTGTCCCCACCCTTAACAAACAGCACAAAGAATTGCTGGAAAGCCAGTATTCAAACAAACTTCACCAAAGCCTGTTTCCAGCTCCTCATCCTTCTGGAGAACCATCCTGCTGGTGCCTGTGAGTCATGGGTGCAGATTAATTTATTTTGTGGTGCAGAGAGGTTTTTATAACCCTCTTTCAAGCCATTGAATCATTCTTTGCTGATGATTTAAAGAAGCTGGTTTATTTCTCCAGTGATTGCAAACGGAAGCCAGATCTTAGCACGGACTGTGACCCCAAAACATAAAGAAATATAATTATATAGAATTAACTGGTCTCCAAATATCTTAGTTGGTGCTTAGTGCCATGTGTTGTCAGGCAGGGAAGGTTTACTTCCCAAGAAAAAGGGTTAATATTGACTCTGGGATAGTTAATTTCCATGTTTACTCGCTAAATATCACATAATAACTGCAGGGAAAGGCATTTTCAAGTCATTTAATCAGCAATAAATACACTTTGGAATAATTGATAACTCTGCAGATGAGCACAACAAGCCCATTCCACTCACAAGAGCAACAGATCAAATATTTATAGTTCAGCACTGAAATATTGTCCAAGTGCAGAACTAAAGGTTAGGCCTTGGATTAATTTCCCATTCCCAGCTTGGTGCCGATGCGGCTCATTGACAGCTGAGACACTCAGGGTGTGACAGGGAAATCTGTCTTCCTTTGACAAAGTTGCTGCTAAAAGTGATGATTTTTTTAGGGTTTCTTTTTAAGGAAAGTAAGTCTCATATAGTTCCTGAGCAGTGGCTTCTCATAGGTACCTCCCTGCATGGAATCCTGGAATAGTTTGGGTTGGAAGGGACCTTAAAGCCCGTCCCATTCCATCCCCTATCACAGGCAGGGACACCTTCTGCTGTCCCAGGTTGTTCCAGGCCCTGTCCAACCTGGCCTTGGACACTTGAAGGGATGGGGCAGCCACAGCTTCTCTGGGCAACCTGTGCCAGGGCCCAACCACCCTCACAGGGAAGGATTTATTCCTGATATCCCATCTATCCCTGCCCTCTGGCAGTGGGAAGCCATTCCCCCTTGTCCTGTCCCTCCATGCCCTTGTCCAAAGTCCCTTTCCATCTTTGTTGAGGGCTCTCTTTGGATACTGGAAGTCAGGTTTGAATTCCCAGCCCCAACCAGATTTTATGGCTCAGATCAGAAGGCTCAAAGCAGCATTTTGGGTTGCTGTGAGGTCAGTGGGGTTTGTCCCAGACACAGGAGATTTTGGATCAAATATACCCGCAACCTCACCTGAGGGATTAATAGGAAGTCAACCTGCATTTCAGAAAC